AGAGACAGAATACCAATTGAGTAAATATTATTTTTTTATGCACGAGATTAAGCAGTTTTTTTCTGTCAAAATATCGTACCTAATTGTCATATTCTCCATAACTTCTGGATTTTTTTCAAGTTCGACACGCAATTCGTCAAAGCTAATACTGCCGCTAGCATCAGTGTCAGCTGATTGAAACAGTGCGTCGGTTAATTGATCGATGACTTCATCAGTGAGTTGTATACGACTTTCCTCCATACAGGAACTTATGACCAATCGAAGTTCAAGTTTATCTATCTGGCCACTACCTTTAATTGAAGAAAATGAGATAAGTGTTAACTAATGATGTCATCAGTAAACTGTATCCGACTTTCCTCCATACACGAACAATTATGACCAATCGAAGTTCAAGATTATCTCTGGCCACTACCTGTAATTGAAGAAAATTAGATAGGTGGTGTAAACTGATGACGTCATCAATAAACTGTATGCGACTTTCTAACATACAGCAACTTGTGACCAATCAAAGTTCAAGATTAGTTATCTGGCCGCTACCTGCAATTGAAGCAAATGAAATATGTGTTTTGTAATTAATGACGTCATCAATGAACTGTAGGCAACTTTCCTTCATATAGATCAATCGAAGTTCAAGTTTATATATCTGACCACTACCTGTAATTAAAGCGTAAAAAGAAAAGTGTAACCCAAAGGCGTCGTCGACTAACTGTAATGACGTCATCAACGGACTGTATACGACTATTAGATTTATTTGTCAGACCACTAGCTGTTAATGTGATGTAACACATAGGCCTATATAAATATATAAATAAATATAGTTCGTAGTTAATAAGGAAAAAATTGTTTTATTAGAAGTTGGTAATTTATTTGATATTGAGGACATATTTAGTGCTAGGGTGCTGAGAAAATAAAATTTATAATATAGGATCCAACACATCCTGGTAACTTTTTTAGTTGCTTCCCAGTGGAAGAACATATTGTTCGAATGGTCGTTCTTCTTTAAACCACGCCCACCTGCGCAGCGGTAAAATCCTACTTAACGAAGACGACCAGTCTTCGTTAAGTAGGATAGAAAACTTGTAAATACTTGACAAAACATAGTTACGGCAACCCACGCTGTGTAATCAAGATTGCTTCGGCTTGTGACAGTATGGGGTTTTCGTAAAAAAAAAAAATATATATTTTCATCCAGTTTTTGAATTCTGTTAGCCTACAATTATTTTTTGACTTCATGTGGGTAAATATTATAATTTTTATTTTCTTAAATTTAATCTAAATTATATCAATGCAAATTTTGTTTCTAAACTCACCAATCGGCCATGTTTGTTTTGAATAACTTAACGATGATTAACGCACTCTGGTTTGCGTTAATTTTCGTTGTCAACGAATTCTACTTTACGAACCAGTCGAATGAAAATAATACTCAACGAAAATTCGTAGTCAACGAAATGAACCAATCGAATACGACCATCCTTTGATCTATGCTTGTACGAGCAGGCACCAAAAGAGTTTCTTTCCATCTCTTATCCGGGCCGTCAATACAATACAATAGCCTAGCAGCAGAGTGCGTTCTTCCCACCTTCATAAGATTTTGTAACTCTGATATTTCTCACTTTAGTATTATGTTGTTTGTAGTTTGTTCATTTGTTTTCTCAACTTGGTACTATGTGAAAAGAGACAGTAATCTCTGTGTGATGTAACTGATACGGTACTTTGCAAATGACAATACATCGAATGAATGAATGAATGAATAAGTGAAGGAGCAAGCAAGAAAATAAGCCCGGAATTAATAATGGATTAATAAAGGTTTAGCACACATGATACCGGTATGTAAAGAAGAAATATCATTGAATAATGTTAAAGAATATAAAAACAACACTCTGTTCGGCATATTGAATATCACTTACCGATACTATTTACAACGTGCGTTTCCGAATACTTTGGATCCTATCCTATCATCCAGATTGATACCCGTTATTACCGTGTGAGTGACATATTAACATATTTGCTATCACGTTTTAAATGAAATATATTTTAAATGAGTGCTTATTATTATATTAAGGGGATGATAGCATCAGCATGCCAACTGACTAATATTTAGTACATTTACCAAACTTCAATTACTGTGTTTCACTTTGTTTCAAATTGTGCGCATACGACGTTTTAATTTGTCATCATTGTGTTAGCTGTAAAATGATATAAAACAATTTAGTAATAAATGCTTTTAATTACTATCGATTGTGGGATAATTTGCAGTATTAATGTATAACAGGCCTACTATATATAATGGTAAACATGTACCTCGATAAATAATATATATAATTGAACAAAGGTAGTAGGAATCAGAATACTATTATCATATTGCAAACGTACCGTCTACGTCATAAACATCAAAAAGAAAGCGAAGTTTATCTGTTGCGTCTCCTCTTGTAAGAAGCTGTAGGCCTTCCATCAATTCATCTAATGTAATTGTACCACTTCCATCTGTGTCGAACAGGCTGAAAAACCGCTCCGCAAAGAATG